AAATATACTTCAGCGACTTGTGATCCTTCAAATGCTTCGGAGAGATCTGATAAAAATGAATGAAAGAGCGACAAGTTATACTTGTCGTAGGTGAGAAGTTTAATTGTATTTTGAAATTAAATTAAATATTAGGGTATTTAATTTCACTTCAACCAGAGGCAACCTAATAGAATTTCACCTTTCACAAATAAAATGAATTGAATAAAATGGGAGCATCATGTGGCATTACAGAAAAGGGTAAATTGAGGAGGGGGAGGGCAGTGGGGATAGGAAGGGACAGTAGCAGACATATTCTGTATAAACTTCAGGAACGCATAAATTTAAGCCCCCACCCCCACACCCCTCTATATCCAGCCACTGTAACAGTTGTGTGTTTACCAAAACAAATCAAACATGTATTTTGATGAATAGAAACCAGACTTCCCAGCATCAAGCTTTTCTAGTGGACTTCCAAATCTATTCTATTGCATAGTAATTACTCAAGTACACTACTCACTAATAGTACCTGTTGTAGAGAGAGAGAGAGGAGGGGGGGGGGGGGCAAGGGATTTGAACTCTAGTTGAATACAGCGACCCAACCAGACCAGGCCGCGGTTTAAGGCCCGGCTGGTCCCTCCCCCATCTCTCACGTTCAAGGAGCAGAATCGGTTGCCTACCTACTAGGCGGACCCTCATTCACTATAGTTTTGTTCAATATTTGTTACGTCTTCTGTTATATTAATGCACTTCGCTCAGCTACCCCGTGCATAATGTTAACGCACGGGGCCCTACGTACACACATTGCTCTTCGTTTTCCTCTCTCTCTTCCTCTCTTCTGTTATTTTCCCGACTTGCATCGCGACGCAACGGCCGGCCACGCAGACCTGCAGGACGGCGGCGGCGCGCCGCGCGCCTCGGAACCCACGTGGGCGGACGGGCTGCGGCTGTGGGGCGTGGCGGAGCGGGGCGGGGCGGGGCGGGGTGTGGCCGGAGCGCGGCGCTGCTCTGGGCCAGCAGCCCAAGGCACCAATAGCAGCAAGCGCAGCTCAGGAATGCCTCTTCAACGGGTTGGGAAAACACAAACGGTGACAAAGTGGCGCAGAGCAGAGCAGAAGAGCGAGGCCCCCGGAGCACGCGCGACTGACTCTTCCCATCGCCCCCTCCCTTGACATCATGAGTACCCGGATGATCCCGAGACTACGACCCTGGCAAAGAGTTTGCTCTTTTAAGCGGCCACTCGTCTTAAAAGTCCTTGGAGAAAAAGTGGCCACAATAGCCCGTTTTGAAATTGAATGTGAGACAAAACGAAGACGAAGCCTTGGCGCCACGGGCCGTAGGAGGGGGCGGGAAAGGTCGCGAAATGCGCACGGGTCGAGTGTCCGGCGCCGACCCGGACGTGCCAATGTCGGACCGCCGTGGTCATGGGAGTGAGAGAAACGATTTGGCAGACAGACTCATCCCGCGAACGAGTTACACATCCAGGCCGTATTGTGGGTATGATCGCAATATTTGTGAGTCTGTCAGTCGAATGCTTGATACAGGATTCATTTATTGTCAACAAGGATTGGCGAACCGCGACCTACCTTTTGTTGCTCTGGACGCCATCTGCAGGTTCCTGAGCGTCAGCGCGAAGGGGTCGGTGGCGAGCTGCAGCCGGGGCGCGCGCTCGTCGTCGTCCGGGACGAAGTTGTCCTCGACGTCGAGGACGGGCGCCACGACGGGCTGCCCGCCATCGCCCAGCTTGTTGGCCAGGAAGATGGCGGTGTTGTGGACCTTGAGCAGCTGCGGGCAGGTGGCCGAGGGTCCGTGGTGGCTGCCGTTGCCCGGGGCCGTCTGCAGCTGCACCAGGTCGGCGTCGAGGCGGCCCTTGAGCACACGCTTGACTCGCACCCAGAGCGCGGCGCCGCGCGGCACCAGGTCGTGCGTCTGCCGGCCGCGTCGCGGGGCCGTCGTCGGGCTGGTGGTCGCGTCGCGCCGCAGCCGCCCGCCGCGGCCCACCACCTTGCCGGTGAAGACGACCTCGGCCTTCCTGGCGTGCTGCAGGAGCGCGCTGCCGGCGGCCTCGCCCGGCGCCAGCAGCAGCGCCCGGAGCGCCTCGCTGGCGCCGCTGGGCGCGAAGCGCAGCATCTGCATGGTCTCGCCGTCCGCGCAGCGCGCCGCGTGCCGCGCGTGGCTCAGCGCGTGGCGCCGGCGCCACATGCGGCCCAGCCCCACGGCGCCGTGGCCGCGGCGCTCGCGCTGCCGGCGCTCCTCGTACAGCCGCATCACAGGCGACAGCGTCGTCGAGGTCGTCGTCGTCGTGGACGTCGGCTCCGTCGTGAACATCTCCTCGTAGTCGTGGTCCCCCCTCGAGGCCAGCGCGGCGGCCAGCACCGCGGCCGCCAGGACGAGCCGCAGCGTCGACGGCCACCCCATCGTGTGGCAGGCGCACGGTCAGCAGCACTTGGGTCGCACTGTCATTTCACTTACGGTACCATCAACAACTGAAGCGACACTTGTAGCACAGCACTCACTATTGCACTCACTGTAGCACTGAACTGCACTTTGCACTTTTTCGCGGGTAAGTCGATCGGTCGGACGGACGGTCGGGCCCGCGCACGGCTCGGCCACGCTACGCACGCTACGCACGGTACGACGAGAGCGAGAAGACTGTGGAGGACCCCCGGCCACATCTCAAGAGGAGCTCTGGACCGGGAGGCAGTTCTCTCCATCTCGCTCTCTCGTTCCGCCGGTCCCTCCCCCTCTCTCTCTCACACACAGAAGTGCGTGGGCAGACCACACCGCACCGGGCCGGCCGGCTGGCAGCGTCGCGGCTCGGACGGGCGGACGGTGAGCAGACAGGCAGACATAGGGCTGCACAGGTAGAACCGGCACCCCATGGCAGTGTTCCACGAGTGTGTGTGTGCGCGCGTGTGTGTGTGTGTGTGTGTGTGTGTGTGAGTGCGCGTGAGTGTGTGCAGGCGCGTGGGCAGTGGCGGCAAAGCCCGTATGGGTCGGAAAAGGGGCCGAGGGGACTGAGGAAGGGAAGAGGGGGGGGGGCGTCTTGAAGCGTGGCTCGACGCGCAACCATCTCTATTTAATTTACTCCATAAAACAATCGGAAGAGCATAATGTTATCGCGCATCGGCCGTGATGGCGTGGCGCCCGCCCGCCCCGCCCCGCCGAGGCGCTGCAGAGAGGTGCGAGGGTTCGAGCGCACAATGTGCTGTCCCGTCGTGTTTCCGCTCCGGGACGGCGGCGCGGGACACTTGAAATAAAACGGGACCCGATTGAATTTACGACAAAACTTGAACGCGTAGTTTGTTGTTACAATAGCTCCACGCTCAGGCTGATATGGAGCGCGGGGAGCCGGGGACAAGTGAAACAACGAGAAACAAAAGAGCACATATACAGCAGGATTGAGTGATCTTCTGTCACTCGCGCGGCTCTGCCTATCGCTGCTGGAGCATCTCTCCAGTCCCAATCCGTCCCGGGCCGGGCCCATAGAGCAGCCCCTGATTACACCTCATGACATGGCCGCCGCGCATGCGCTCCCACAGGCTAATCAACACGCCATCGGGACGAGTGGACAAGACCACAAACACGGGGACGTGTTGGGGCGGGGCGGG